TCGAAAACAAAGGGTGGGGGGTTTAAAAGGGCCGGAGGCCACAGCCGGAAGTCCCAGTTATTAAACGGCGGGGTACCAAGACGACGGCGGACTCGAAGGGGATTCGCTGGGCTGGTGGACGGCGTGAAGGGTGGCCCGAAGGAGGAGGCCCCGCCGACAGGTGAAAGGCTAGCGAGCGGCGAGGGCGAAATCGAAGGTGGAGGCCGCGAGGGCGGCGGCGACGGCTGGAGGCGAGGGCGAGAGCGGCGGCGTGCCAGACGCGGGCGGATTCGAGGGCAGCGGTGGGGCTGGTGGCGGCGGCGAGGGTGGCGCGACGGAGGAGGCACCGGCGACAGGTGTGAGGGCGTGCGGCGGCGAGGGCGGAGACGAGGGTGGCGGTGGGGAAGTGGCGGCTGCGACTGTGAGGAGGCGAGGGCGGCGACGAGACTACCTGGCGTGCACGCGATCGCCGCATTTTTTTCCTTTTTCGGTTTGGTAGTCCTCCTCATCGACGCCACATTCAATCAGAGCCTGCGAGGTTAACCGAGACCGTGCTCTTCGAGCCGACGGCGTGTCGTGTTGTGCGAGGCTACGTGTGCGACGACCCGCAGGCGCGGTTACCTCGGTTACCGAGATGTTACGGTCATCGCCGGGGGCAGGCGAGCGCGGCAGCGCGCGCGGCAGCGCTGCCGGCAGGCACGTGCCTAGGAGTTACGGTGCGCCGGCGGGCGCGGTTACCTCGTTTACCGAGATGTCACGGTCATCGCCGGGGGCAGGCGAGCGCGGCAGCGCGCGCGGCAGCGCTGCCGGCAGGCACGTGCCTAGGAGTTACGGTGCGCCGGCAGGCGCGGTTACCTCGGTTACCGAGATGTTACGGTCATCGCCGGGGGCAGGCGAGCGCGGCAGCGCGCGCGGCAGCGCTGCCGGCAGGCACGTGCCTAGGAGTTACGGTGCGCCGGTAGGCGTGGTTACCTCGGTTACCTAGATGTTAGGTCATCGCCGGGGGCAGGCGAGCGCGGCAGCGCGCGCGGCAGCGCTGCCGGCAGGCACGTGCCTAGGAGTTACGGTGCGCCGGCAGGCGCGGTTACCTCGGTTACCGAGATGTCACAGTCATCGCCGGGGGCAGGCGAGCGCGGCAGCGCGCGCGGCAGCGCTGCCGGCAGGCACGTGCCTAGGAGTTACGGTGCGCCGGCAGGCGCGGTTACCTCGGTTACCGAGATGTCACGGTCATCGCCGGGGGCAGGCGAGCGCGGCAGCGCGCGCGGCAGCGCTGCCGGCAGGCACGTGCCTAGGAGTTACGGTGCGCCGGCAGGCGCGGTTACCTCGGTTACCGAGATGTCACGGTCATCGCCGGGGGCAGGCGAGCGCGGCAGCGCGCGCGGCAGCGCTGCCGGCAGGCACGTGCCTAGCGAACACGCCCGTTCCCCCCCCCGGCCCGACTTCGAAGCACGCGAAACACAACCTAGCGCGATGCACATAGTGGCGAGCCAGGTCCCAGCAAGCTACAATAGCTAAAGAATGAGCTAGGGTTAGGGATGCAGCTGGCGAGCTACTGAGCTAGGGTTAGGGATGCAGCTGGCGAGCTG